ATAGAGTCAGACTTAAACAGGATTTTCCAATTTAAAAAAAATCAAGCAACACAAAAGATGGGCTTCATATAATTTTCAAATATTAGTATGTGGGGGATCTTTATTATCTTACTTCCATTGTATCTTTTCTTAAGCATAATTGTTTTTCTTGTCCATTTGAATAGGTATAATGAAAGTAAAACAGGTTTTTGCTTTTTATAAGCTAGTATTTAGGGAGTCTGTCACACAGACAGACATGCACACACACACCTGTGATAGGGAGGGCTGTATATCTGTCATTTACTGTCATATTCTTAATGTTTGAATAGTTCCTACATAGTTGGAAAATATACATTGAAATACCTTTTGAGTACCTACTACATGTCAGAGAGAACTTTATGCACTGAGAAATAGCCTTGCATAAAACAGAAATCTATATTTTCATGGAGTTTATATTCTAGAAGTGGAAGACAGGAAACAGAAGTAAATTAATATATTTGGGATGTCTGAAGGTAATATGATTTATGGGGAAAATAAGCAGAAACAGGAGATAGGAAGTGCTGGGGGTTACGTGGGAAAGTCATTATTTGAATAAGGTAGTAAAGGAAGACCTCAGTGATGAATGACTTTTGTAGAGAAACCAAAAGGAGTTAGGAGACTGAGATATGATGATATCTTGGGGAAGAGAATTCTAGGCAGAGGAACAGCCAGTGCATATGCCTTGCTGTCAGAAGAATAGCAAGGAGGCCAGTATGAACACAGTAGAGTCAATGAGATAGACAGCAGAGGAGAACAGATTTGGGAAGAGAGCACGGGCCAGATCATAGAGAGCTATTGACTGTTATGAGTCTCAATATGGATGGAATTAGCACTAAATAAGATAGGGAAGATCTCAGAAGGCACAAATCTGGAGGAAGTATTCAGATCTGGGTTTTTTATAAGGCAAATTTAAGATTGTTATTAGTCATCCAGGTGAGGATATTGAGCAGGTTATTGTGTAAATTTCTGGAATTTGGAGGAAATATCCAGACCAGAGATAAAAATCTGGGAGTCATTAGTAAATAATTGGAATTTTAAAACGAGACAAGATTAGATCACCAATGCTTGATTAAATAGTTAATAGGTAACAAATAAATAAACACAGTGACTTTGATAACACATTTTCTATAACATAGCTCATATGCAATTGCAAATAGGGGAAACAATGTCAATGTCAATATAATGTGGGTGCTGTGTTGAAGTAGAATTATAATCTTCAGCATAAAATAAAATGTCCTCAAATTGGCTGCTACACAGTCAGGAGCCCTTTATTAGCTTTATTTCAAAAAAATTAAAAGTGAGATTCTACACTCAGGGCTTCCTCCCCAAGGAGATATTCTCCCAGCTTTACGTGGTTTTTTGTCGCAGGCAGATTGCACTGCTTTCTTTGCCTGCCTTGATGGTAACCTCCCTGTGTTAGAGCTCTACTTATATCTACATTGTCTCAGAAATTTCCCTCTATTAGTTTCTTATATTTTTTTAAGATTTATTTTATTTATTTGAAAGACAGAGTTACAGAGAGAGGTAGACAGAGAGAGAGGTCTTCTATCTGCTGGTTCACTCCCCAGATGGCCGCAACAGCCGGAGCTGCGCCAATCCAAAGCCAGGAGCCAGGAGCCAGGAGCCAGGAGCCAGGAGCCAGGAGCCTCCTCCGGGTCTCCCATGTGGGTGCAGGGGCCCAAGGACTTGGACCATCTTCCACTACTCTCTCAGGCCATAGCAGAGAGCTGGATTGGAAGAGGAGCAGCCGGGACTTGAACCGGCACCCATATGAGATGCCAGCGCTTCAGGCCAGGGCTTTAACCCACTGCGCCACAGTGCCAGCCCCAGTTTTTTGTATTTTTAATATCCCCTGAGGTGGCCTCTTAGTATACTGGGCTGTGTGTTTGAGCTGTTGAAGTTATCACCTTATGGGTTAGTTTTTATTTTGTTATTGCTCTGATTATAAAGTTGTATAAGTTTTGAGTGATCTGCCCCAAGTCTATTTTTTTTTCTGTAAATCTTATTAGTGTGTGTTTTTTAAAGTGGGAAATTTTTCAGGAGTATCTTGTTTGATATCACAAATGCTTATATATAATGTAGTTGACATGTTATTATTGTCCATAACTTTCCTGGCATCTTAAGCTCTAGGAACTATATATTGCCCATCAGATATACATTATTCTCTCTCCCCAACACCCCCAAACCAGGGCTAGGCACATGACCCTAGCTAGCCAAACAGAATACATACCTACCTGGCCATGGCAATTGTTTTGGGCATGGACACAGGATCCAAGCATAGCCAATCATAATTTTCCCTGGAGCTATCAAGAAGGCGAAATCTCTTAACTCTGGAGTTATCTGAGACAATATATGCATTGAAAATAACGCCATTACAAGGGAAAGGAAACACAAGATAAAAGGTCCAGTTATTCATCTCCAATGTTCTTCTTATGTCTTTGTTTCCTTGGGAAACTCCTAGTTGTTTTTCAAAACTTAGTTCAATTATTATCTTCTGGTGAATGCTTCAAGGGCAGTGAGCTTCCTTTTCATTGCCAGAGCATCTTGTACACAGCTCTCTTGCAGCATTATTGTATACCTTTGCTTTACTGTCTGCTCTTCCTGTTCCCTTACCCCTTGGTTTGTGGCATCCTTGATGGTGATGACATTGACTTATTTATCTCTATAATCCCAAGTTCTAACACAATGCCTAGTATACAGCAGGTACACAATCCATGTGAGTTGATTGAATTAAGGTAGAGATAATTCTTGTAATATGTATGGTTGATCACCTTGCATGAGAGGATACACTGTCTCAGATACACAGACAGTATGTAGAGAATGTAGAATTTTGATAGGTAAGGCTTTTGATTCAAGCTTAAAAAAGCCAGTGCCGCGGCTCACCAGGCTAATCCTCTGCCTGCGGCGCCAGCACCCCGGGTTCTAGTCCCGGTTGGGGTGCAGGATTCTGTCCCGGTTGCTCCTCTTCCAGTCCAGCTCTCTGCTGTGGCCTGGGAAGGCAGTGGAGGATGGCCCAAGTGCTTGGGCCCTGCACCCGCATGGGAGACCAGGAGGAAGTACCTGGCTCCTGGCTTCCAGTCGACGCAGTGCCTCGGCCATAGTGGCCATTTGGGGGGTGAGCCAACGGAAGGAAGACCTTTCTCTCTGTCTCTCTCTCTCACTGTCTAACTCTGCCTGTCAAAAAAAAGGGCAAAGTACTTTATTGAAATTGAAAATATGGCAGTAAGAGAGACTTCAGAGTAGGGTAGATTTTAGAGAAAGAATAAGCACTACTCTATAGGATTAGAGAGCAGAGATGGAGAAACTGAGGGATGATATTCAGGGAGGTACTCATAGAGAAGAAAGAAAAGTACAGGAATAGAGATGGGAAGAGATGTAAAGTATAGCAGTGGAAGGCAGGGATAGGAAGGTCTGGAATGGTAGACCTTTGAGATTTCAACAAAGTTTTGTTTTCTACTGTAGGCCGTGTGCTGGATTATTGGAACACTGAAATGAATAACTCATAGTCCCTATGAGTCACATTGTGGGGGAGTTCTAGGTTTATAATGATAGTAAGAGAAATGGGGTAATGAGAAGGGGTGCATGTTAAGGGGAGCCTGTCCACGATTCTGAATAGGCAAATATTTCCATCCTTTACCAGAGTTGTAGGAACTGTGGAAACAGAAGTGCTGTCATCAGGTTGGCAAAGTGCTCCACTCTCCCCATTTTGTTTCTTTCTCTCTGGGTTCTATGATCTATGTCCCATTCCAAGGCTACCAGAAACTCCTATTTTACACGCTCTTCCTCCCAGTTTTGATATGATAGAGGCAGAACGGTGGCCTTTTCACCCCACCCCCCTACCCCCACAGTGGAACATGATGCCTCCCTCAGGAAATGCCATGTCCCAAGCCATGTTTGCTGGAGTTATTACCTCTTCAAGTTCTGGCACCCTAGGGCACCTTGACTGTCCCATCGATGCATCACTAGAAATTCCAGCCTGGGTAGAGCCTTGGCTGCTCTTCCCACACCTAGTCAGATTAGGAGGGTGCCCCTGGCCTGCACCAGGGTGCCATCATCACCCCAGAACTTTTCCGGGACCGTGGGGGAATTAGAGGATAGGGACTTGAAGCCTCCCCCTCTCCCTTCTCCTCTCTGGACAGGGGATCTCAGGAGGTGTAAGTAATTTGTGTGTTGGCTGTCCTGGGCAGTAGGTGCACCCTGGGTATAGACACCAACTATGGAAGGTTAAGTGGAAAGTCTGTTGGGTGGGAATAGGGTGAGTATGGAGGGTATCAAGGCCCTGTAAGGTAGGGTCCAGAGAGAGGAGACATCTGTGGATACACCTGTGGGCTTGAGGAGCTGACTGTGCCTGTCTCTGGGCTGGGTGGATTCTGACGCCACCACAAGGGGGAGACCGAGGATGGCTGGGGTGAAGGGACGTGCAGGGCAGGTGGACCGTCCTGGGGTGGTTTGTGCATCGTGGAGCAGGCTTGGCACAGTCTGCGGGAGGGCTTTGGCAATTCGGTGTCCAGGTGGTATGTGGAAAATGCGTTGAGCTCACACAGGCAGCTCAGGGGCAGCGGGTCCTGCAGTGGCGACGGAGTGCGGGTCAAGGGGAGGGGGAAATCCACGACGGAAGCTCTCGGTGGCGGCGGGCGATTGTCTGGAGCAGAGGGCTGTGACAGCCTGGGTGCTGGCGCCGCCCCCTGGGGGCGTCCGGCAGTGAGCCCTGTGGATAAGGGGAGGTTGGAGACCGCCTCCCAGCGCTGGGCTCCGGTACTTGTTGGGGGCGGGGAGGAGACAGGGCGCGCGGCGAGGGGAGGCGGGCGCCGAGCGAGCGCGTGAGTCACTCGGCTCCCCTGGGTTCCGAGCAGGACTTCGTCTCCTGCCTGGGGTCTGCATTTCGCCTCCAGCTTCATGTCTCTTCCCTGCAGGCTGACCCCTTCCGGAGGCTGGACCAAACGTTTTCCAGTCTAGTTGAGGGCCAGGTAAGTTTCTCATCTTTTGATGCTTCTTGCTTAGGTGACTCGGCGGGAGGGGGTCTTTCAGTGTGTGTCTCTGCCTTGGCTTCCTCCCTCTGGTTCTCTCCATTGAAGACAGAAAGTTAGATTTTAAAAAACGCAGCAGAGAAGAGCAAATCCATGCTCAGACCCCAGACAAACCAAACTCTGGGGCAGTAGTCTTAATTCTCAGGGACCTTTAAGTGTCTGGATGCGGCGTTTATGAGCTAGGAGTATTTGGTTTGTTTCGTGTGTTTCCCTCCTCCCCCACTTTCTTCCTGGGCGATTCTTAGAGGTGGGGACAGGAGAGCTGTAGGGCTGAGCCGGGATCCTTTGCCAGAGCGGTTTCTTCATTTTCGACGAGGTGGCAGATATTTTACTGTAGCCTGAGTTGGGATCTTGGAACAACGCTCCCCAGCCCAGGACATGCCAGAGCTGTAAGGTACTGCAGGTGTTGCAAACCCATCTCATCACCATTGACTAAATCAAAACGTTACGGAGGCACAATCAATGTGAATGTCATGATACTGAAACAATTCATTAAAAGACTGTATTGAATATTTTATCGTTTAAATGTATTGTATTCCAGAGGAGACAGCTGATGGTGTTATTTTCTCTATTCTCAGAGATGCTTCAAAAACCTCTTGTTTCCTTTGCAAGGGAATCAATGAGGACCTAGTTTGTTTCTTATAAGGATTTAACAATGCAAAGCTGCGTGTTAATTTTTTCTTCCTGGGGAGGGGGAGGGAGTGGGGGTATTTCACTAAACTGCTTTTAGAAAAATTCAGTGTGGGGGAGGGATGTCCCCTTTCTATATCATTAGGTGGCAAAGTGTGCTAATTGTTATTGTCGATTTTGCTTAAGAGTAGCAGAGGAGAGAACCTCTTGGAATGTGTGAATTTGTGGTCCATGTTGACAACTGATTGCTTCATCATCAATATTGTTTGGTTTGAGACAGTGTTAACAGGTGGTCTTAATTCACAGCACAGAATTAGTCTGTTCCAAGAAACATCCCTGCTAATATGGGATAAAAGCACTCCCCCTTCAACCATATCTTTATCGTTTGTGGGAAAAAGATGGGGAGGATCTTTTCTGGCATTTGATTAGTCCTCCATTATAAATTGCTCTTTCCTGAATTGTCATTTGATTTATAGCCTGTGATTATAGAAGGAAAATTAATAAAACCTTATATGTTTAGTCAGATGACAGGGATAATTTTTTAGAGTTGAGTGGAATCTCTAATGATTATCTTCCAATGCTCTTCCCAAGAATCCCTCCAAACTGAGTAATACTTCCCGTCATTGATAACATAACTGCTCCCCTCTAGGTACCTTTATCATAGCTCTTACTACTCTGTCGCTCTTGATTTACATACTAGTATTGCTCAAGATAAAATTTATTTGAAGACAGGGGTAATGTTATTCATTTTTATATCCCTGGAGCTTAGTAAAGTAGAAGTCTGTTAAAAATGAATGAATAAGTGAATTTGACAGTGCAGATTGTATTCCATGAATACCACCTGGGCATGCTTTCTCTTCACTTCTAGAAAGTAATTATTTACATCCAATGATACTTAAGGTGTGGATCCTCAGACTACACTGAGTTCTAAATTAAGTGAGAGGTTTTGGTATATGAAAAATATCTGTATATTCATTGTGAGTTTTTGTTTTTATTTTTCACTAAAAGTACTAGAAAAGCCAACTAAACATGGTTTTAACAAATAGAGAAGTCTGACAGCAGGTGATCACTGTAGCCTAACAGTAGCAGAGTTCTGTAACAGTACCTTACCCTCTTGGTTTCAAAATGGCTCTAATGGTTCCAGATATTTTGTCCTATCCTATAATCAAAGATAGGAACCGGGCAGGAAAGGGGCAGAGTATATTCCTAAAAGAAATTTTCACTCATCTGAGAGAAAATCTCTGCCCCCGAAGTTTCCTAACAAAATCTCCCTTTTAGCTCACTGGCCACATCTGAGGCAGATCTAAAAGCTGATTTTAGTTGCAAGGAATGCTGGGAAAGTATCAAGATTTTCAGTTTCTGTAATGGAAAGGCAGCCAAGAGAAGGAATGTCGGGTATGGTTTTGGGGAGCTCACCAGAAAGTCTGCTAGATTATCACAAAATAGATCTATTTAAATCTGTGACTATTATCAAACATTGGGCCAAGTACAATATTAAATATTAATCAAGGGGGCAAGTTTTATGGCACAGAGGGTTAAACTGCTGCTTGGGATGCCCATATCCCATATTGGTCCAAGTCCCAACTACTTTGCACTTTTGATCCAGACTCCTGATAATACATACCCTGGGAGGTAGCAGGTGATGGCTCAAGTACTTGGGTCCCTACCACCCTGGTGGGAGACCCAGATGGAGTTCCTGGTTCCTGGCATTGGTCTGGCCCACTCCTGGCTGTTGTGGGCATTTGGTAGTGAACCAGCAGATGGATAGTCTGTCTCTCTCTCTCGCTTTCCTTTTCAAATATATTTTTTTTTTTTTTTTTATTTTTTTTTTTTTTTGACAGGCAGAGTGGACAGTGAGAGAGAGAGAGACAGAGAGAGAAAGGTCTTCCTTTGCCGTTGGTTCACCCTCCAATGGCCGCCGCTGCAGCCGGCGCACCGCGCTGATCCTGGCAGGAGCCAGGAGCCAGGTGCTTTTCCTGGTCTCCCATGGGGTGCAGGGCCCAAGCACCTGGGCCATCCTCCACTGCACTCCCTGGCCATAGCAGAGAGCTGGCCTGGAAGAGGGGCAACCGGGACAGAATCCGGCGCCCCAACCGGGACTAGAACCCGGTGTGCCGGCGCCGCAAGGTGGAGGATTAGCCTATTGAGCCACGGCGCCGGCCCTTCAAATATATTTTTAAAATAAATTTTAAAATTAACTCAGGTAGAAAATCACATTCAAAACAGATTTTCTCTGCTAGGAATATGGTATTTTAAGTATGCCAAGTAATCGTGTTTGTAAAGTGTATTAACTTTTAGAGATTATAGCTAGCATTCATATATACATGTAATACATATATATG